GCGGCAGACCCGCGCGGGCAGCCCGCCCAGCGGCTTTTATATAGAAACATAATTAAAAAATTAGAGTACTGTGTAGGGCTTCTCTAGACAGACTTTGCAACAAAAAGCAGATGCGAAGACGGTGGGCCCCGGCGGGCGGGGCAGCAGCGTCCAGCGGGGAGGGCGCCTCATGCACGACGGGCGGCGGCGCTTATGGCTTTGGCTCAAGCGAGAAGCGGCTAAGGTGCTAAGCGGAGGCCTCGCGGCCTCGCGTGGACACGAAGGGGGCCGGGAGGGCGGACGAGCCCTGGGCCCTGCGGAGAGGAGCGCGGGCGAAGAGGCTGCAGGCAGGGAGGCCGCAGCCCCGCCCGGGTGCCCCGCTGACGGCGCAGGCGACTGGCACGAAGGGCCCAGCACCGCCCTGGGGCTTCTCCGCGGACCCAGGGCGGAGCGCGGGGCACTGGTGTGGGCAGTGAGGCTCGGCCACCCCCGTTGGTCCCGTCTGGCTCTGCCCACCAGGCCTGCACAGGGACCCTCTGGGTGGGAGGTGGGGAGAGGTGGGCATCAGGGGTCTGTAGAACGTGAGCTTGGACCCCGAAGCCCCCTGGTCATTCCGACCTGGACTCCTCCAGGATCTGGGGCAGGTTCTGGTCCCGGGGCCCCGGGGCGGGGGCTGGGGCCGGAGCAGGCTCGGAGGCAGGGGCCGGGGCCGGGGTCGGGGCCGAGGCAGGCAGGGGCGCTTTGCCTCCCGGTTGGTAGTCGTGGGTGGCTTTGGGCTCGTTGGTGTGGTAGGAGCCCTTGTAGCGATGGTTTTGCAGATAGAAGAGCACCAGCATCCCCACCAGCCCCAGCAGCAGGAAGGCCACCAGAACTGCGGAGGAAAGGGGAGCTCCTGGGCTTTTCCCTGTACGCATGCGTACAGAGATCTCGGCCGCAGTGCGCGCACAACTGCGCCAGTCATGTCCCCACACCGAGCAGCTCCCCAAGTGTCTGGCCCGCCTAAATTCCAGGTTTATCCCCTGACAAACTTCCATTTCTCACGTTCTCTTTTCACATTCCTCATAGTTACCCCTCATTCTCGTCTCCCTGGATGTCTCTGTGCCTGTACCTCCTCATCATTTAGCTATAGCTATATTTTAATCATACAATTAAAAACGCACTGCAAGCCAGGCACAGTGTGCATGCTTCTAACCCTAGCACTTGGGAGGCTGAGGCAGGAGGATTGGAAGTTCAAGGCCTGCCTGGAGGACATAGTGAAACCTCTCAAAAAAACCAAAAAACAACAAAAGGAAAAATGTAAAAATGTATAGCATCTAGCAAAGCACACCCTTGTAATCCTAGCATCTGGGAGGCTGAGGCAGGGGGATTGCTGCAACTTTGAGGCCAGCCTTTACCGGGCGAGACCCTGTCTCAAAAAAAAAAAAGTCTCCAGCCAATCAGCACAGGCTCTCAATCCTCCAGTACCAGTGACACCTAGTGCCCGAGCCACCCCTCAGCATCACAGGTTGGGAACAGGGCCCAGGGGTCCAGTTAGGGGTCCAAGCTACTCACAGCCTAGGAGGATGGCGACCCATCCCTCGTCGTGGTAGTACAGGAAGTCTGGGGGGACAGCACAGTTAGCAGACACCTCCAAGAAGAACACCGTCCCTTCCCTCCTACAACCCTCCCCAGCTGTGCCGGCCCAGGGCCATACCTGGGGGCAGGTACCAGGGGTCGAGCTCAGGAGGCACCTCGGACACCAGGCGGGGCATGGCACCACAGTTAGACTCAGCCAGCTCGCCCTGGACGCGAAGCGCCTCTGCTAGCTCAGCGGTCATGGGCCGCGGGCTGCGGAAGTGGGTCTTGAGTGGGGCCACGTTGTTGAAGCGGACGCCAGACAGGCAGCCGGAGAAGCCCGGGCTGTTGTAGCGCTGGATCTCGGGGTCGATGATGCCCGTCTCTGAAGAACAGCAGGCCCAGAGAGGCTTACGCTACCAGCAGGAGCGCATCCCTTGCATCCTCTGGCCCGCTACTCACCTGCCACCCTCCCTACCCTGGTCTAGCAGCCTCGCCCATGGCTTACCCATCACGCGCCCCAGGTACAAGGCCTTGGGTGAGTCCAGCTGGCTGTCCACCAGCAGCGAGAACTTCTGCTCCGTCAGTGGGAAGTAGTCCACCTGCGGGGAAGGGACCAGGCGGAGATACCAGCTGGGCAAGCCTGGCTCTGGCCCCACAGCTAAGCTCCTGGGCCCAGACAGGAGTATGGGGATGGCTCTTAAAAACCTGGCATCCCAGTTCTCTGGGAGGCTGAAGCAGGAGGGCTGCAAGTTTGAGCCCAGCCTGGGCAACTTAAATAACTCAGTGAGACCCATCTCAAAATTCAAAAATAAATAAAACAAGGGCTAGGGGTGGAGCTCTGTGAAGCCTGTGGGTGCAGCCCTCAGTAGTGGGAAAAATTTTAAAAACTGATTTTTAGCTGTGTTTGTGTAGCTGACTTTGGTTTGACTTTGGGGAAATGAGGTGGTGAGCTGTCCGTTGACTTGTGAGAGGCAAAAGCACCCTGAGCTCCTGCACAGGGGATGCTTCCTTGGGTGCCGCACCGAGCCAAGGCATGCGGCCCACGTACCTGGATGAAGAGGTTGCGGTAGACCCGGGTAATGTTGACACTGTGCGGCTGGCCGTCGGTCACCGGCCGGGTGGTCAGCGGGTACACGTAGGGGCTAGTACCCAGCTGGTATCGCAGCTGCAGGGTCCCTGTGCAGCAGGGAGAGAAACCTCAGTCTCCTGGGCCCCAAGCCCGTCGGGGCCTCGTGGACCGGCGGGCACGGCCAGGGCACCAGCGAGGGTACCCACCATCCTCCTTGATGAGCACCGCCATGTAGTCACGCACGAAGGAGCTGACGTACAGCAGGACCGCAGGCGCCGAGCTGGTGCTGAAGCTGAAGGAGACCTCCTCCCCCGTGACGTTGTACACGGGGCCCCGGTACCCGGGCACCGGCCGCCCAGGCCGCGGGTAGTCTGGCAGGCGGTAGCCAGGGCCATGGTAGCCAGGCACATAGCCAGGGGTATCGTAGCCGGGGACATAGCCGGGCTCATAGCCGGGCACTGGCCGGCTCAGCATGTGGGAGAACTCACGCGCGGCCGAGCGCAGGGCAGATTGCAGGTTATAGCGCATCCAGGTGCCTGGCTCGAAGAAGCCGCCAATGTCTGTGGGCAGACATGGCAAGGTCAGGCCCAGGCTCCTCCCTCCCATGCCAGAGGGATGTGTTTTTTTTTTCTTGGTATCAAAGATCGAACTCAGGGGTGCCCCACCACTGAGCTATGTCCCCAGCCTCTCTATTATTTGGGACGGTCTCGCCAAGTTTTCCAGGCAGGACTCAAACCTGGAATCCTCCTGCCTCAGCCTCCCTTGGTGCTGGGTTACAGTCACCACATCTGGTAGAAGTCACAGGTTTAGATGCCATTGCCACACGCTCTGGGACTCACCCTATCACTGCCAACATCACCACCCTCCTGGTACCTTTAGGTCCCCGTGAGGCCCTCTGCCCCGGAATGGAGCCTTAAAGCCATGAGAACGGTGAGAAATCCTCTCATCTTACACCCACATTGATGGGTGGGGAAACCCAGGCTTGGGATGGGTTGGGACAGTCTGAGGACCCACCCTGAGAGCCAAGATCAGAACCAGAGCCCTTCAGTCTTCTGTGGGTGCCCAGGGCCCTGTGTCACCTGGCCCAGGAACACACCCCGCAAGTCCCCAGGTCCCCGGGGGTGGGGCGGCACAGTCTGGTGTCCCTGCAGAAGCCAGCTGAAGCTGGCTGTGTTCACCGCCAAGGCCCAAGCCCTGAGCCGGGCTGTGGACATCTCTTGGGCAAACGGCCATTGTCACCCGGGAAACAGTACAGAAGGGCGCATGAGGCCAGAGGCACGTGCGGGGCATCCTGCGTCCTCTTGGTGACAGTGGGGGCTGACAGGCACTTGCTTCACACTTTTGAGCTGTTCTACAGTACCAGGGATGGAACTCAAGGCCTTCATAAGGAGCTATAGCTCCGCCCTTTCTTCTTCTTTTTTTTTTTTTTTTGGTATCAGGAATCAAACTCAGGACCTTGTGCTTTGCCCCTAGCAGGCACTTGTGCCACTGAGCTACATCCCCAGCCCTTTATTTCTATTCTGAGTCAGCGTCTTGCTAAGCCACTAAGTTGCCCAGGCTGGGCTTGAACCCCGGATCCTCCTGCCTCAGCTTCCCAGGTGCTGAGATGACAAGTATGTGCACTTTGGTACCCCATTCCTCTTCCCCCTTCCCTGCTCCCCCTGCAACCCACTACCCTGCCGGCTCCCCATCCCGCCATGCTGACCGTGGTTGCAGTAGGGCCCGTCGAAGGCCGTGAGGTCGCAGTCGCACGTGTAATAGCTGTAGCGCTCCACGCAGCGGCCTCCGTGGGAGCAGGGGAAGCGCGGGTGGGCACAGCGGCCTGTGCAGTTGGGGGACGTCCCCTCGGAGGCATTGGCCCGGCCCTCCAGGTTCAGCGTCACCCCATTCAGACGCATGGCCCTCAGGCAGCCCACAAAGGGGCGCCGCTTGAGCTCCGCAGAGCCTGGCCAGGAAGCGAGCAGAGGGGCCGGTGTGAGCCCTGGGCAGCAGGCGGCCCAGACGGGGCCCTGGCTCTGTGCCGGGCACTGGGAAACGGACAAGGCTGCTTCGGGGGCGCTCACCCACGTAGAGGGGCTGGTCATACTCCAGCCAGATGTAGGTCTGCGGGGGCATGGGCCGTACCACCCACGGCCGGTGGTCCACGCGCAGCCGCGCCTGCTTCACGTTGATCTCGGCCCGCACCAGGTGCCACTCGTCGTCATTCAGCTCAAAGTCCTCCGAGTGGACCGTCAGGTTCTCGTCCCCGTTCCCCACGTCGAAGGCGAAGACCACGTCCCGGGATGCTGGGCGAGGAGACCGGGAACAGAGGGGATGCGGCTTGGACCTCCACGCGCCCTTGTGGGTTCCCGGCCCGGCACCACCTCCCTTCGTCCCTGAGGACCCCCGAGCCACACGGCCGGGCCACTGTCCCCCAGCCCACACTCACTGTTGAGCTCCACACGCAGGTATGGCCGGCGCCACTGGCAGTAGCGGCCGCCTTGGTTCTCCAGGAAGACGCCGGAGGGCGCCGAGGTGCGGAAGTAGAAGGACACGTCCAGGCTGTGGTTGGCACGGATAGGCGGGAAGCGCAGCGCTGCCCCGGTGTGGAAGGAGATGGTGTTCCAGGAGTTTCCTGCGACCCACGGGAGGGCACGTCGGGTGGGGGCAGGTGGAGGGCGAGGGACCCAGGGACAGTGGCCCATGATGACGAGATCCACCCCTGGCCACAGCGGGGCCTCGGGCAGTGTGGCCCGGGGATCCCGAGCCGGTGGTGGCCCGGGAGGAGTCTGGCACTCACGATCTCCGTAGCAGCGCAGCGGCCTCAGGAAGAACTGGGCCTCGGAGTTGGAGCGGTTGGTGTCGCCCACCACCACCTGGGTGACGGGCAGGTGGTCCACGAAGGTCAGCAGCCCCTTGTCGGTCCTCCTGCAGGCAGGCCGGGGGCTCAGCCGGCCCCTCCGCATCCCCTCACCACCCGGCACAGGGCCCGCTGTCCCCTGCCTGAGGCCTCACCACTGGGGCTGGTCGGCGTCGCAATTGCAGTGCAGCGCGGGGTCCACGCAGCTGTGGTCCAGGCCGCAGGCGCAGCGCTGGATGCCGGGCTGGGAGCCGCCCCAGTAGAAGTGCTGCTCCTCGTGGCGGCCGATCCAGAAGCTGTAGGGGTAGCCACCTGGGGGCACCGGGACGCTGCCAGGCCTGGCCTCTGCCGCCCAGCCTCGCCCCGCCCGGCCCCGCCCCGCCCCACTGACCTGCGGTGTTCAGCAGCCGGGAGTTGTAGCAGGAGAACTCAATCCACTGCTGGCAGTGCTGAGAGGCGTTGGCCAGGGCGCCCACCTCCTCCCAGGACGCGTTCCAGTACTGCACGGCCGCCAGGAAGGGCCGCTCCATGCTGGAGCCCGACACGCGCGTCGTCCACAGCCTGTCGTGCCGCACCACCGTCCACGCACGGTTCTCTGGGCGGGGGACAGGGCCGGGCTGGGCGAGGGTGTCCGCACTGCCCCCCTGCCCGCCATAGCCTCCCAGGGATGGGCGCAGAAGGCAGGGTCAAAGCTGCATTCACTCTCCGGGCCAGCGTCTGCCCAGCCTTTACCCCACCCTCATTTAATTGACTGCCAACCCGTTTCTGGTCCCCACTCGGCTCACCCCGGATGTCACAGTACACCACAAATGGCTTCAGGGGGCCACTGCCGTCGGGGTCGATGGTGAAGTTGCCAGAAGTTTTCCCGCTGAGCCGATAGGCCTCACAGGACTCCTTATAGAGCGCTGCGGGGGCGGGGGCAGGGTTCAAGGGCCAGTGCTCAGGGCAAGGCCCCATGGCTAGCAGCCCCATCCCCACCCAGCACCCTGGCTCACGCTGGTGGCAGGTCTCGCCCTTGTAGCCAGTGAGCTCGCAGTAGCAGATGAAGTCGTCCCATGACTGGTAGCAGCGGCCATCGTGCTCACACATGTTAGGACTGCACCTGGGAGGGGTTGGCACCCAGGAGGGGTCTTATCTTGAGGGGCAAGCGGGACAGGGTCTCCCTGTGTAGTCCAGGTTGGCCTGGCCTCTTGGCAATACTCCTGCCTCAGCCTCCCAAGTGCTGGGATCACAGGCGTGCACCACCACACCCAAGGAAGGGGGCTTATTGGGGTCACAAGGGCTCTTATCCTGCAGGGCCACATTCCAAATGCCTGGTGCAGCAGGACCTGATGACACACACCCAGCTTGCTAGTCAGGGAGGAGCATGGACAAAGGGGCACTGGACACTCAGGGCCCCAGTCCTGCTGGTCCCTGTCCCTACAAAGTGCAGAAAGCTCCTTATTCCAACCCCACTGCTCACTGAGAAAACCCCTGCAGCTGCAGAAGCAGACTCCCTGGCACCTCCACCAGGAGCACCCCTCACTTATGCAAGACCCAGGCGGCCGGAGTCAAGGACAGATCTGTCAGGGTGGGCGGAGAGGGGAGAGCCCGGCAGAGGGCATCAGGGGCCCCCGCTGGCTAGGGGCAGCCTCCTCCGGTACCTGTCCGTGATGCCACATGTGTCGAAGAGGACCTCGGCGTAGTGTCCCAGCCGCCGGAACTCCACCAGCGTGAGGTTGACCAGCTGGCCGTCCACCTTGAGCAGCTCCATGCAGCCGTGGAAGGCCGTCTGGTTGGAGTGGCAGCCCCACTGGCTGGCTGGCTTGGGACAACCTGCAGTGGCCAGCCTGTGAGGCCTCCACAAGGACCCAGAGACCCTCCTTCCCAAGGAGCCAGCCAGGAAGCAAGAGGGAGCTGGACCAGAAGCGGAGCCGGTGACCAGGGCCTCTCCACCCCCAGGGCCCAGGTGTGAGGGCTCAGTCCCTCCAGAGCCCAGCAGGAGTCCACCACGGCCTCACATGGCGCCCCGACCCAACGGGGCTCCCCTACCCCCAAAGAAGTAGGAGGTCCCAGTGCGCATGAGCAGCGGGGCCGACACTCGGACTTCGGCCCCCTCCACGTCGTCGATGCTGATGACCGCGTGGTTCTCCTGGGCCACAAAATTCACCTCGTGCCAAAAGCCGTCATTCAGGCGGTACCCTGGGCAGAAGGGCCAGGCTCGGTCAGAACCGCGGGCCCAGGCCCCGGGCCGCGCCCGCCCCGCCCCCGGCGCCTCACCGGCCGCGAACTGCAGGCGCTTGCGGCCGGCCTGCGCGATGGACACGTTGACCTGGCCCTCGCTGAGCATCAGCTCCACGTGGCCCAGCCCGTCGCCCAGGCTGGAGAACAGCAGCAGCCCCGTGAGGTCCCAGGTGCGGAAGCGGAAGGACACGGCCAGGCGGCCGCGGCGCGGGAAGCCGGGCACCTGCACGAAGTTGTGCGGCCCCCCGAAGTTGATGGGGTGCGGGACCGGGTCCAGGCACCGGAAAGCCACCTTGCCCTGGGAGGAGGTAGGGACCCTCAGTCCCGCTAGTGCAGGGGTCCGCCAGCCCTGACCCTGTGTGCGCAGCAGCGGGGGGGATCGCCGGAGCAGAGGCGGCCCGAGCTGCGTGCTTTGCCTGCCTCAACCCCAGCCAAACTGGGGGCCCACGCCAGCTGGTGGAGGCCGGGGAGACCCCCTCGCTCGCTCTCCACCACTGGTCCACAAAGTCCCTGGGCCCGCGCATGCGCACACTCAGGGTCCAACCCCAGTGGGCCCAGTAGGCCAGGACAGCGAGGGCCCCAGGTTCGAGTCCCTGCTCCGCCCCCGCGCAACTGCACTGCCCGTGCATGCACTCAGCCCCTGCCTTGTGCCTCGGTGCCCACCACCCCCCGCCCAGTCTCCAACCAAGCAACAGGACCTGCCGCGGCTTCCAGGGCTGTGCAGCCTTGTACCACCGCCCCGTCCACGGCCCCCTTCCCCCACCCCGGGCTCTGCCTTCTGGGTGGCCCACTGGCCTCGAAGGTGATCCGGGAGTGGCGCCGCACGGCCAGGTCGGCGATGTTGACACGATTGAAAATGACGTTCTCAATGCAGCCCCGGAAGTTGTGCCGGTAGGCAAGGTTCTTCTGCGCAGCACCCACCAGCCCCCCGATGAACATCTGCGGGGTGGGGTCAGGGGTGAGCAGGAATTCTGCCCACCCCCATTTCCCTAGGGTCGGAGTTCAGTCTGACCTGGAGTCCGCCAGGCTGGTTGCACCTTGGGCAGTCAACAACCTGTGCACCTGTCCTTGTCCCCATAGGGAGCCAGGGCCTTTATGAGCTCCATAGCACTGGAGGAGGCTCCAAGAGGTCAATTTTCCCCAAATCTGGACTTCTAGACCCCACCTCCATGGTTCTGGGTGGGGCAGAGGTGTGGGCAAGCTAGTAACAGGGACAGAAAGCTGGGCCTTGCTGGTGAGCACCCGGGAGCCCTGGGGAGAGGGACTGCGCCCACCTCCGTGTCCAGGTTCAGCCGCTCAAAGTCGCCATTGAGCACGAAGCGCTGCACGTAGCCATCCAGGGTGAGGTTGGCCTCGCGCCCGTAGCGGTCCAGGCGCACGTAGTGCCAGTGCTGGTCGTTGAGGACGCCGCCCGCACTCACGGTGGTGTGGCCAGGCCTGGGCTGGATGGGGCTGCTGCCTGAGAGCGGGGACCGCATGTGACGGGGTGGGAGGGAGGCCGGGGAGCCCTGCGGGGTGTGAGGGGGAGGGTGCAGGGCAGCCAGGGGACACCTTGAAGCTAGCTGTTAACTCTCGGGCTACAGCCGCTTCTCTCTCATTGTCAGGTGCTATGAAAAGTTAATGAGCCGGGCGTGGTGATGCAGGCCGAGAGTTCAAGGCCAGCCTGGGCCACATGTGAGCAAGGCCAACCTGAACTACACAGCAAGACTCTGCCTCCAAAAAGCCCAGAAAAAAACAAACAGGAAACGCAAGACACCACGGACGGGAGGGAGGGCCGAGTGCCGCGGGGTGGCGTCGGGCCGCGGCCTCACCCAGGCTCATGTGCAGCAGCAGGTGTGCGCCCTGCAGCTCCAGGGTCACGTAGTCACCCTGGGCGCCCTCAGCGTGCACCAGGAGCCCGTCCTTTTCCTCCGTCTTGAAGCTGAACGCGATCACGTCCCACAGGCTGCGGCTGACCCCTCGCGGGAAGCGGTAGGAGATGGCGTCGTCGCCATCGAAGTAGAGGATGTCGGACTCTGCAGGGCAGAGGACAGGAGGTAGGCCAGTCTGCCCGCACCGCAGAGGCTGTCCTGGGGTCCCCGGGGCCCCAGCCCCAACCCTGTAGCCTACTGTAGGGGCAGCCGTAGAGCCCGAGCCGCAGGCCAATCTTGCCGCGTGGGTTCCAGGCCAGGGGCACAATGCGCACGTAGCGGGCCGTGAAGTGGTAGTGCAGGTCGTGGCGCACCACGGCGGACTCGTTCACGTTGCCAAAGAAGGTCTGCGGGGGCAGGGACAGTGCGGACTACATCCTGTCCTGTGTCACCATCCTCTTACTCCTCAAAGTGCCAATCAAGTGTCTCCTCCCCCAGGAAGTTCTCCCCGATTTCACCCTAATGTGTTAAGCCCTGTGTTCTGAGAGCATCTTGAACACACAGTGAGCTGACTGTCCCTCTGAATCCTTCTTCACCTGCTCCCTCGCCCCTACGCCTTACCCCCGTTCCTCTCACCACTGCCCAGCCCAGGGCCCAGAGCGGAGGAGGCCGCCCAAGAGTACCGCGTTGTGCCCTTGCTGGTAGAATGGTGTCCAGCTGTCCACACGGTCGCCGTAGAGCAGCATGTAGCGTGTGACCCAGTCCCAAGAATTAAAGGAGCCCTGCGTGGCCACGGCACGGATCCTATGCTTCTTCATTAAGTCGATCTGCAGCCAGGGGTTCGGGTCCCCGATGCGGGGTGACCACCCACTTATGCCTGCAGAAAGGACCAGGACTCTTACCACCCACACCATCCCCCAGCCTTCGGGGTTGCCACTGCCTGGGCGGGCGGCTGGGCTCACCGTGCAGCCTGGCGAAGCGGGCGGTGGTGAAGAGCCCGTAGTAGGAGGAGGAGCCCAGGGAGCGCGCATACAGGGGCCCCACCAGCTCCTCGTCGCAGCCGTCTGGGGCGGGGAGGAGAAGCTGTCACTCAGCCGCCTCCGCACAGGCCCTTCTGAAGGTCGGGTCCCCCACAGCCCGGCGTCCTCCTCTCTGCCCCCCAGTGGCAGACCTGGTTCCCCAGAGGCCCGGGCTCCACCTGGGCCACACCACAGCAGCATGTGCTGGGGGGCTTCATCTCCCAGGGTGCCCTCAGCCAGAGCGCCCCCACCCACTGCAGACACTGTCCAGGTGCCGCCCAGCGTGCCCCAAGCTCCCCAGCGCCTTCCAGAGCCCAAATCAGCCCGACACCGGCCCAGCCCCACCCTTCCCAGGTCTGCCTCTTCAGACCCCCAAACCTGCACCACCCTGAAAGCCAGCCCTGTTCCCCACGCAGCCGCCCGCTCCCTGGCTCCCTGGCTCCACTGCCGGCCCTGGCCCCATCCGGACCCCAACTCCAGCCTGGACCCCAGCCCCAGCCTGGACCCCAGCCCCAAGCCCAGCCCCAGCCCAGGCCAGAAGCGGCACCCCCGCAGGGTCAGCACCCCTACCTCCCACCCCGCTGCCCTTGGACCGCGCCCGGCCGCTTGGTCCTCCGCTCGGAGCCTGCCCAGCGCAGGGGCACGCAGCGACCGGAGCTGCATTGCAGAGCGCGGGCCGCTGCGGGCCGGGAAAGACCCCGACCACCCAGCCGCACTGCGGTGCGGCACCCGCCCTGCAGGCCCGGGCTCCGCTCCTCCCGCCCCGGCCGGCCACTCACAGTAGCCCCAGCCCCGAGCTCCTGAGGCCGCGGCGGCGAGCAGGACGCAGAGCAGCCGCAGCCGCATCGTGTCGGGCGGACCCGGCGGGCGGCCGCCTCTCGGGGCCGGGCTCGCGCTCGGGCTCCCCGCCCAGCTCTGCTCCCGGTCGGCACCAGGGCGCTGTCCCCTCTCCGTCGTCCCCACCCCGCTCCTCCCCAGCTCGCCGCTCTTCTCCCTCTCTCCTCTCCTCTCCTCTCGCCTCCCCCTTCTCCAGCCTGCTCGCCTGGCACGCGCGTTCCCCCGACCCCGCGCAAGCGCGCGCCTCAGCCCCACGCGACAGGGCGGGGGCAGAGCACCCCCAGCCACCGGGAAGCACCAGCGCCCCAGGCTGCAGGTCGGGACTTGGGGGTGGGGCTGCAAAAGGAAGGCAATAACCTGGGAAAAACAAAAACAAACAAACAAACAAACAAACAAAAGAACAAGAGAAGGCATGAGGGAGCGCGGTGCCTAGAGAGGCTCTGCGGGGCAAGTCACAGAACCCAACATTCCCCGCGGCCACGCAGCCCCAGGCTCGGCGCGGGGCTCCCTCCTAACACTGTGCTGTCTGCGTTTTCACCTGACTTCACTTTGCAGAGGAAAACACCTCGAGGCTCAGAAAGGGCAAAAAATGTAACCAAGACTACCCAAGTAGCTAGCACAGGATGAGATTCCCAAACCCGCCCTTTCCCTCTGGGGGTGACGGGAAGTCCTTCCAGAGGCTGGGGTGCACAGGGCGCTAGACCCCAACCCCTCCGCCCTGGCCCCTCTCCCCGCCCCTTCCTTCCTGTCCCACTGGTTGTTTAACCTCTACCCTTGCGGCTGTACCTCTGAAACCCTGGTAGCCAGAGATGGGGACGGAGCCGGCGGAGCAGGTGGGAGTGGGGGCAGGGCAGGGTGGGCCCCGCAGGCCTCTGCATCCCCTCGCCTGTGCGGGCTCAGCCACTGGCCTGGAGCCCCTGGGCGCGAGAGGCTCCTGGGCCCGAGCTGGAGGGTGAGGTGGCAGGGTGCAGGGTGAAGGGAAAGGTGTCAGGAACCACCCCGACCCAGGCTGGAGACCAGGGTCCAGGGTCCCGCCAACTCGCACCTGGCCGTCTGTCCAGGAGAGGGCGCTGCAAAGTGACAAGCCGGGCTAAGGTTTATTAACACTGCAAACGCTTGGGCTAGGGGCAGCTAGGCGCTTCGATCCATTCTCACCCGTATTTCAAACATCCCTGGCTGCAAGCCTTGCCAGGAGGCCTGGACAGGGCTTCTAGGTCCTGATGAGGTCCCTGACACCCAGAACGAGCATTAGCTCGCTCAAGGTCACCAGCAGGGCGGCATCGGAGGCAGCAGGGAGCAAAGGAGACGGGAGGAATCTGGAGGGTTTCTCCCCGCGTGCGGCCAGCCTGGGTCGCAGGGCTCCCGCGGTAGTCAGGCGTGACTGCGGAGGGTGCGACGGCGTCTCTCAGGTCCGGCTCTCACTGCCCTCCCCAGGTGCCCTGGGGCTTCTACTCGGGGGACGAGGATGACGCCTACTCTGCCGAGCCACTGCCAGAGCTCTGCTCCAAGGACGACGTCCAGGCCTTCAGCCGCGCCTTCCAACCCAGCGTGTTGCTGACGGTGGCCTTCCTGGGCCTGGCGGGGAACAGCCTGGTCCTGGCCACGCACCTGGCAGCCCGGCGCGTGGCGTGCTCGCCCACCGCGGCGCACCTGCTGCAGCTGGCCCTGGCCGACCTCCTGCTGGCCCTGACCCTGCCCTTTGCCGCGGCGGGGGCGCTGCAGGGCTGGAGCCTGGGCAGTGCCACCTGCCGCGCCATCTCCGGCCTCCACGCGGCCTCCTCCCACGCCGGCTTCCTGTTCCTGGCCTGCATCAGCGCCGACCGCTACGTGGCCATCGCGCGCGCGCTCCCCGCAGGACCTCGGCTCTCCGCGTCCCGTCGCGCGCACTGGGCCTCGGCCGCCGTCTGGCTGCTGGCGCTGCTCCTGGCGCTGCCGGCGCTCGTCTTCAGCCATGACGGGCCGCGCGAGGGCCGGCGGCGCTGTCGCCTGGTCCTCCCCGAGGGCCTGGCGCAGACGGTGAAGGGGACGAGCGCGGTGGCGCAGGTGGCCCTGGGCTTCGCGCTGCCGCTGGGCGTCATGGCCGCCTGCTACGCGCTCCTGGGCCGCACGCTGCTGGCCGCCAGGGGGCCTGAGCGCCGGCGCGCGCTGCGCGTCGTGGTGGCCCTGGTGGCGGCCTTCGTGGCGCTGCAGCTGCCCTACAGCCTCGCTCTGCTGCTGGACACGGCCGACCTGCTGGCTGCCCGCGAGCGCAGCTGCCCAGCCAGCAAGCGCAAGGACCTGGCTCTGCTGGTGACCGGCGGCCTGGCCCTGGCGCGCTGCGGCCTCAACCCAGTGCTCTACGCCTTCCTGGGTCTGCGCTTTCGCCAGGACCTGCGGGCGCTGCTGCGGGGCGCGGGCTGCGGACCCAGGGAGCACTCCCGCGGTCGCTGTCCCCTTCGGCCACGCCTGTCCTCCTGCTCTGCGCCCACTGAGACCCACAGTCTGTCCTGGGACAGCTAGGACCGCAGGGGGGTGCGGGCCGGCGCCGGCCACGGGGGTGCGTGGGAGGGGGAGTGGGTGGGGAGACCACGGGGACAGAGGTAGGGACGGAAGGGTGGCCTTGGGCCCCCGCCACATAAAGCGATAACATGGAATTGAGATGCAAGCAGCAGCTGTTACTATTTTTGCACCACCGGCTTGCAAGTGATTCGCGGCAGAGCCGAGCAGTGGGCTGCACCCCCGCCAGGCCGGGCTGGGTGGGCGGAGCTGCTGAGTTTGCTAAAGCCCTGGCAGACACCCCCTGCACCTCCACACCGGGCTCACCCGCCGAGGTGAGGCTGAGGTGGGAAAGCTGCCAGGCCGGGAGGGGTGGGGCTCCTCCCGAAGTAGCAGCGTCAGAAGAGCTTTCTAACAACCGGCTGTCCTCCAGGGCTCCCGGCGGACTCCGCGGCCGCCCGGAGGGTGAGGGGCGGGAGGTTCCCGGTGGGGGCAGGGGACTGCTCGCCACGGTGCAGGCCCTGCTGAAGTTCTGTGGCGGAAACAAAACAAGTCATGTACAAAGTTGAGTTGGAGTCTTGCACCTTGGAGAAAAACCGAAGGGGTGGGGGTGGATTGCAATTTGCAAGATGCAAAAAGGGATGGTCCCGGACTTGCTGGTGTGCGTGTGCGTGTAGCTACCCTCTCCATCTTCTCTGGGCCAGAAGGAGCGGGTTAGACGTCGGCAAGAACTTCCCTGCAAGCCAGGGCCTGGGAAGAGGGCCAGCTACAAGGGAAGAGAACGGGGGTCTGCAGGGTCTCTGGCCCAGGAAATCTCAGCAGGGCCACTCTCGGGCGCAGACACTGGCAGGAGCGCCGCTACCAACAGCGGCTTCATTCCGAGTCTGTTCTGCACCATAACAGGCAGGGTGGTGCTCACGTGCGACAGTTCTCCCGTGCAACATCCGGCCAGCCCAGCGGGACCCACGCTTCGGCCTGAGTCCAGGGGCGAGAAGGGCGTGGCGTAGCGGGGGTGGGGGTTGTCTGGAAACGCGCGCGCCCCTCCCAGCCGGTCGCGCTCCCGCGAGCCTGTGACCGCGGAGACCCAAGGCCTTGGCGTACAGGGGCGGTCTGAGGCCGGCGCAGGTCCCGGGTGCCGGGCTGGAACCCTCGCGGGAGACCGCGGAAATCGCCGCTGAGTCAGCGCCGCGCGCGCCTCCCGCAGTCGCCCGGCCCCGCCCCGGCCGCCTGGCACCTCGTTTAACCCCGTCCTGCCCGGACCCGCAGAGTGCTCGCCTGGAGAAGAGCACAGAGCGTCACAGAATGCCTCCTCGTTCGGAGAACTCGATCTTCCCTGGGCGTGGCGGCACACTCCTGTCATCCCGGCACGCGAGACGCTGAGTCAGGAGGCCAGCCTGTGCGGCACAGCGAGACCCTGGTTCAAAAATAAATTAGTTAAATTCGATTTTATTTCCAGCCTAGGTTTGCACCTTCTGGGAATCCTTGTCTCAGCTTCACCCCAAAATGAGGGGAACTGCAATTTAGGAACCAGACACCCTAACTCCAAAGGTGCAGGATCGCCCCCAAAACTGGGCTCAGCGCAGATCTAGGCACGCTCACTATAGCCGAGGCTCCTCCCTGTCTCGGAGACCCTAAACCTCAGCGGGTTTCCGGGCGCGGCCTGGGACCGCCTCCAGGCCCAGCAGCGCCCCTCCTTCTCCATGCCCTTCCAGGAGGGCTTTTGCTTGCAGTCGGGGCGCCTAGAGTTAAGCCGGAGCGCGAAGGCGGGCTCCCGTGACGTCACCAGCACCCCGCGCTGGACCTCGGGGAGGATGAGGCGTGGCCAGCAGCGCCCCGCCCCTCCTCCGGCCCCCGCCCCTCCCCGCTGTCACCCGGCCAGGAGCACATGACGCAACCCGCACCGCTCCTCATCGGTGATTGGCGGCCGCGCCCGGCGCCAGGCGCGGGGATTGGGCGCGGGAGACGGTGACGACACGTGGACCCTGCCCCGGACCGAAGGGAGGAGAGAAAGGAGAGGCGGAGGGGGGGGCCGCAGGAGGGGGCCGGAGGCGGGGTCCCCAAGCTGCGCCCGCGCCCCCAGCGCGCCAGTCCCGGGGCTGCAGGGAGCGCAGC